TAACGCTATGACCGTACTATTTCGTCTGGTATCTCCTTCATTGTGGCTTGACCGTTTCTCTAATCTTGCTTGCCCCTTCGCTTTTTCCAGCGCCTTTCCTGAAGGCAAAGGAATCGAACATTCCTGCATTAGCGTTAACATAGTACCTCGAGTGCTGCTTCTCATCTGTGAACAGGATCAGTGATCGAAACGAGTGAGAATAGGCACGAAGAATGGGTACTGGACAACAGTGACCGTACAAGCACCAGCAATCCGGTTGCTCCGAGGCGGAAAAGGATGAGTTCTACCTGACTTTGGACGAGGCCATAAGATCGGTTCCGGAAGATGACTACCTCACCATCGTTGGTGATCTGAATGTGGGAAGTAACAGAATGAGCCTAGAAAGGGTGCACGGAGGCCGAGGAATAGGAGCAAGAACGCTGAGGGAGAACGGATCCTTGACCTAGCCACAGCCCACGACTTAGCAATCTGCAGCACCTTCTTCGCGAAAAGGAAGGGACTGAAGATAACCTGCAGCAGTGGAGGAGCACAATTGGAAGTCCTCCACGTTCTGGTGAGAAGATCGTCGTGAGAAGATCGTCTCTCAAAACCATTAAGGATATCAATTTACTGCCTGGGAAGAGTGAGGTCAACATGGGCCTCCCGTGGCAGACATCACCATAGACCTCCCCAAGGAAACGAGGGCAAGGAAGTGCAGAGAACTAGATGGTGAAAAATGCTTAGAATGGAAGAGATTAGCCTTGGTCGAAGAATACCAGAGGTTCGACTTCCAAACCTCGGGCCAATCCAGGAGACCTAGACCAACGTAGCAGAGACCATCCTACAATGAGCGGAGGATGTCCCGGACCAGAGGGAACGAGGCAGCGTGGTTCTGACACGAGACGATCTATTTAATGGTAGCGAGGACCAGGCTTTTGAGGCTCGAATGAAAGCAGCTTGGATGAAATGAAGAGAGTCGACAGGCATCCTATGCAACTGGCGGTGCTCCATGACCCTCAAGGGCAAGGTGTTCAGAGCAAGCCCGGCGATGCTCTGCGGTAGCGAGTGCTGTCCCATATGCAAGAACCGTGAAAGGCAGCTGTTCAGCTGAAATAACGTTGCTGAAATGAAACGAATATCACGAGGAACTTGATTTGCGACCAGTTTCCTGCCGCCGCGCGCGACGTGCGGCAGATTCGCGCGACCAGATTATGGGTCTAATCATCGTATTCGGCATCAGTACATGGTTGCCTAGCATCTGACAATAGGAACTGGAGAAGTTTTGTTCCAAAGAATGCTGCAGATCAAAGAAGTTTGGCACTCCTAGAAGTGCACTGGCACAATAAGGAATTGAATCTTGTGTTACGCTTGCTCGCGCGCTAACTTTTTCCTCAGAAAATCTTATGGCAAAGTCAAACGCATGGCGCATGTCGAAAATGCAGTCAAATGGACAAATTTAAAGGCAGTGCGCACGATGGCTGGGGGCGGGCGATTGCTGCCAACGTCACTGATGGGAAGAGGTAGGTGGGGTGTGGCCAATGCCCCTTACACCAATAACGCAGGAAACGACTGGCCGCCTCCAGCAGTCGTGCGCACTGTCTTTAACATCGAGTGCTCGGCACGAAGTGGGCAGACACCAGGCAATCATTTCAGGGAGGTGGAGAAAACAAAGAAGACAATACCCAAAATGAGAAAAAGAGGAAAGGTGTAAGTGTGTCGGAAATGGAATTGTCTATTGATCCATGATTGTTTGGATGTATGCCAAGTATTATAGGGAACCCAAAAAGGAGGAACGGGCAGAGGTAGTAAAGCCCCCATTCTATCACCGGAAGTTGAAAAAGTCGTGGATAAATTCGTCAAACATGCTACAGAATCAGGTATATCGTTGATAAGGACTACGTGTTCCGCATAGAATAAAGCCTCTAAGACCTCATTTT